TATTATTATTATTATTATTATTATTATTATTATTATTATTATTATTATTATTATTATTATTATTATTAATACCCTCCGATGCTAAGGAGTCCCACCTGAAAAGAAATCTGTTCCAAATAGAGGAGAGGAGTTTCCATTTCCGGTGCTGCACCAAGCAGCTTTAGTCCAGAACGCTTGAGCTAAGCCACGCCCAGGCTCCTTGCTGTCTTCTTGTTCACACAGCAAATCCTCTTTCAGTTTCCAAACAGCCCTCAACTCTCTCACACACTGAGAGGACACTAGCCAGATGAATACTGACGGATGCTGGTAGGCAGAGGCACAATTTTTCCCTTATTTTCCTCCCCACCTGCTAAGCCCAACCACGTAGTTTCATAGTGGGTATCGAGCTAGTTCTGAAATAAATGAAAAGGCGGGAGGTTATTCCGAGCTTTTTTTTTTTTTTTCCTCCGGGCGTAACGTCTCCAGTTCTTAAAACGGCCTCGGCCTCCCCTTCCTTCCTTCCTTCTTTCCTTCTGCCAGCAACTACTCCTACCCTCCCTGCACTTTGACTGACGAAGAGACCCGTACGGAAATGATCAGCCGCGAACTGCAGATCTCCCAGCGGGAGAAGCAGGAGATCCTGGCCTTCGAGGGCCACCTGGCCGCGGCCTCCACCAAGCAGACCATCACGGAGAGCAGCAGCCTCCTCCTGTCCCAGCTGACCAGCCTGGATCCCCAGTAAGAAGCCCCGGTGATTCTTCCGAGGGGGAGACTCACCCACCGCTGGAGGCCCCGAAAGCTGGGGCAAGAGTCTGTCCCGTCGTCCTCCTCCTCCGTCTTCACCGCTTTTGTTCCTTTCGCAGGGGACCTCCTCGCAGGCCGCCTCAGCCTGTCCTGGACCAGGTGAAAAGCCTCAATCAGTCCCTGCGCCTGGGGCACCTCTTGTGTCGTAGCCGGCACCCCGACTTCCTGCTCAACATCATCCAGAGGCAGGTGAGTAGCAATAGCCGTAGCCCGCAGACTTATATATCGCTTCACGGTGCTTCACAGCCCTCTCTGGGCGGTTTTACAGAGTCAGCCTCTTGCCTCCTCCCCCCCAACAATCTGGGTCCTCATTTTACCCATCTTGGAAAGGACGGGAGGCTGAATCAAGCTTGACCTGGTCAGGATCGAACTCCAAGCAGTAGGCAGAGTCCACCTGCAATAGCCACAGCCCTTAAGACTTATATACCGCTTTACAGTGCTTTCACAGCCCGCCCTCAGCGGTTTATACAGTCACCCTATTGCCCCCACCACCATCTGGGTCTTCCTTTTACCCACCTCGGAAGGATGGAAGGCTAAGTCGACCTTGAGCCAAAGAACCAAGTTGTGGAGTTACTTCTGAGTAGTTTCTTGCTTGCCCTTCGCCTGCAGACGGAATCTTGCCGGACTGAAGCAGTTCTCCGCAATAATTATAGATCTTATTCTGCAAACGGCTAAGGAGAGTCCGGCCTTGCTCTCTTCCTGCCCACCAGACATTCCAAACTCTGCTGATGGTTTTGGGGCCTCTGGGAAAGAGCCCCTCCTTTCTGCAAACTGCACCCCCCCCCCTCAAATTGCAACCTCCCCTACCCCACTCCCGGGGCATCCTTTGAATTCGCCGCGCCCTCCCTCGTTTTCCAAACTGTGACCTGCGTTCTGCTTCTTTCCTGCTCGACGCGATTCTTGCTTCTTCCTCGTTGGTTAGGCTTCTTCGCAGTCCATGCCGTGGCTGGCAGACCTCGTCCAGTCCAGCGAGGGCTCGCTGGACGTCCTCCCAGTCCAGTGCCTTTGCGAGTTCCTCCTGCACGACGCGGCGGATGAGTCGGCCTCTGGAGAGGAGGAAGAGGAAGGAGAAAGCAAAGAGCAGCGGGCCAAGAAGCGGCAGGTAGGCGGTTCTTCGGGTTTCCCCATTCCTTGAAAAGCACAACGGCCGGCTTAGGAAGCGGGTGGACGGAGTATTCGTCGCCCGCCAAGAATTTCATCCCGGCCCAAACGCGGCAGGTAGGTCTGGATCGGCGACCCTTTGGTTAGTGACTGGAATTACAACGGCACTCACCAAGCGACTTACGGCCGTCTTTCCCATTTAACAACCGTCACAGCATCCCCAGGGGTCAGGTGATCAAAATTCAGAGGGCTTGGCCACTGACTCGTATTTACAACGGTGGTAGCGTTCCCCCGAGTCATGAGATTCCCCTTTGGCAACTTTCCGACATGCCAAATCGAGGGAGAAGCCAGATTCACTTCACTACCATGTCACTGAATGCAGGGATTCACTTCACTGCGGCAAGAAAGGTCGTAAAATGGGGTGGAACACAACACCTGTTGTAAGTCGAGGATTACCTGTGTGTTGAAGAACAGGAGTTTCATCCTTCCTACAAGGACAGCACTTAGCAGTAGCACTTCTGCCGCTTCACAGGGCTTTTCCAGCCCTCTCTAAGCAGTTTACAGAGTCATTCTCTTGTCCCCAACAATCTGGCTCCTCATTTTACCCACCTTGGAAGGAGGGAAGGTTGAGTGAACCTTGAGCTGGTCAGGATCGAACTGCTGGCAGTCAAGCAGAATTAGCCTGCAATACTGCACGCGAACCACTGTGCCACCACAACTGGTAGGTAGGTAGATAGATAGATGATAGATAGATCATAGTGTTTATATACCACTTCCTAGTGCTTCACACAGCCCTCCCTAAGTGGTTTACAGCCTATTGACCCCCAACAATCGGAGTCCTCACTTTACCAACCTCAGAAGGACAGAAAGCTGAGTCAAACCTTGAGCCGGTAAGGATCGAACTGCTGGCAGTGGGCAGAGTCAGCCTGCATTGCTGCATTCTCACCACCATGCCATCATGGATGGGATGGGATGGGATGGGATGGGATGGGAAGGAAAGGGAAGGAAGGGAAGGGAAGGGAAGGGAAGGGAAGGGAAGGAAGGAAGGAAGGAAGGAAGGAAGGAAGGAAGGAAGGAAGGAAGGAAATAACAATAGCCCTTAATCCACCGCTTCCCAGGGCTTTTCCGGCCCTCTCTTAAGCTGTTTACAGAGTCAGCCTCTCGCCCCCAACAATCTGGGTCCTCGTTTTAACGACCTTGGAAGGGTGGAAGGCTGAGTCAGCCTGGAGCCTGGTGAGGATCGAACGCCTGGCCGTGGGCCGAGTCAGCCTCCGTTCTAACCACTGCGCCACCCCGCCAAGGCTGCCCTCCCTGAAAGGGCAGGCTGCACTTTTGCGGGGAGGCGGGAAGCGCCTAACGCTTGTGCTGCTCCTCCGCAGAGGCAGCAGAAGCAGAGGCAGCTGCTCGGCCGCCTGCAAGACATGCTCCTCGGACCCACCGCCGACGAGCAGACCACGTGCGAGGTGCTGGACTACTTCCTGAGGCGCCTCAGCTCATCCCAGGTGGCCTCGCGGGTGCTGGCCATGAAGGTAAGGAGCACCAGACCCCACCAGTCCGTGCCCAGCTTAGAGCAGGGAAGAAGGAGGCCGTTCCAAGTCTTGCCAGGTGGGACAGGGATCAAATATTGACGTGCCGCCTCGTGTTTGGTGCACCTTCAGTCCTTTTGCCAGGGGGCCATCAAGGTTTTGTTCAGGGGTGTGTGTGTGTGTGTGTGTGTGATGAGTTTTGGGGGCTTCCGGCCTGGAGTTTCTGCTCCCTGCTTGCAACTCTTGGAGTGCTGAAGCTTGAAAACATCCGTATTCGTCTCGTAAGCCCCAGAGTGCTAGATTTGAGAGAGGGCATCTGTGCCAGAAGTCAGTCAGTCAGTCAGTCAATCTCTCTCCCTCTCTCCCCCCGCTTCTCCTCCTCCTCCTTCTTTTCCTTCTCCTCCTCCTCCTCCTTTTCCTTCTTTTCCTTCTCCTCTTCCTCCTCCTCCTTTTCTTCCTCCTCCTCCTCCTTTTCCTTCTTCTCCTCCTCCTCCTCCTCCTTTTCCTTCTCCTCCTCCTCCTCCTCCTCCTCCTCCT